TAAATTTAACAGATAAACAGTCAAAAAATTTTTAGAATTTCGCCCACACACGAACTTTAGACACCATAAAGCAGTTTTTTGAAATAAATTTTTTAGAATTTAGTACAAAAATTAATCAGAAAATCGCCAAGGTAAGAAGGGAGAGGAAAGTTATGTTTTCTAACAACTTAGAAAACACACAACTTCCCTCCCCATTATCAAAGTTTAGCATCCGTTTGTGTTGATGTTCGTGAAGAGAACAATGTAAAAAAAAAAAAAAAAACATTATTGTTTATCTTTAAAACAATAGAAGATGACCCGAGCCAGTAGCAGTAAATCTTATACTGTCGTAGGGTAGTTTACTTCTCATAGATTACACATTGGACTGTGATCTTGGCATATGTTAAGCGCTTGATTTTTTCGACTTTTCGTGACTTTTTTTTTGATAAAAATCTTTCATTGTGCACACATCGATAAAGAAATTAATGACTGAATTTGCAGTAAATCGTAAAACGTGAATAATACATGACAGTTACGGAATTAAAACGTGATCTACTCATTCCAATTTTTTGATTTCGGGCGATAAAAACGAGTCAAATAATGCTTTAAATATGTGAATTTTTTTTAGAATTTCTGCATAAATATACTCTTGATATACAAATAAAGCGTTTTCCTACTAATTCTCGTTAAAAATTACTTTAAAAGCGCTGTAAAATGTAAAAATTTAGATTTAGAAGTCCGAAAAGTGTCGTAAAACATAGAAAAGAAGCCAAAAATAATGTTAAAATCTAAATCAAACTTAAAAAAATATAAATTTTTTAAAGAATTTCTACGTAAATATAACTTAAATTTATAGAAATAAGCATTTATTTCCTTTAAAAAATTCTTTTAAAAAATGCTTTAAAAAACCAAAAATTTCGGTTTTTTAAAGTACAAAAAGTGTCATAAAATGTAAGAAAAGAAAACTTAAAAAAAACTAAATTAAACTGAAAAAAGTTATTAAAATACGAAATTTTATTTTGATTTTTTATGTTAAAAATAAACTTTAAAACGTGTTTAAAATGTTCGAAAAAATTTATATCTTTGCTTATTTCTTCTTTAAAAAAAATCTGAAATTTAAGATAATTTTAGTAAAAAAATTTTATTTATTAATAGAAAAAAAATTATCTAAAATATTTTTTTTATAGTTAAAAATTTTAGGAGATTTTTAGAACGATTTTAGACGATATCTGTATAAATTAAATGAGGATTTTTTTAAATTTATTGCAGTGATTTTTTTTTAGATTTTCATTATAATTAAATAAGTATAATTGAGATTTTTTAGAAAGGTTTGTATAGTAGAAACTGATTTTATATGCCTTTATAACAAGCTTTTTTTGGTATACTTGAAAAGATTTTTTAAAAGATTTTTGTATAAATTAAATATATTTTTTTGAAATTCATTGTTTAGAGATCCTCTAAACATTCATTGTAACGAATTTCAAAAAGAAATCCTCGTTTAATTTATACAGAAATTTTCTAAAATGTCAAAATATTGTAGTTTAACAGCGTGTAAAAGTTGTTAAAAGAGTATTTAAAGGAGGGGGAGTTTTCGGGGAAAGAAATATTTTTCAAGATTTTTTTTTACGGATTTTTCTGACAGAAAAAAAAATTTTCGGGATTTTTTACGGATTCTTTCGGGAAGTAAAAAAAGATTTTTCAGAGAGTTTTCACGGACTTTTTTTTGGAGAAAAAAAAGAGTTTTCAGGATTTTTTATGAGTTTTTCGGGGAGGTAAAAAAAATTTTCGGGGATTTTTTACGGATTTTTCTGACAGAAAAAAAAATTTTTCAGAGAGTTTTCACGGATTTTTTGGGGGGAGAAGAAAGATTTTTCGGGGATTTTTTAATCCCCGAAAAATCTTTGTTTGGAGATCTAAAAAGAAATCATTCTACAAATGTTTTTAGACTTTTTACAAAGATTTTTAGAAGATTTCTGAATAAATTAAACAAGGATATTTAAAAAAAAAATTTATCAGAATAATTCTTTAAAAGATTTAAATCAAAGCTTTTTTTTTTAAGAACAATCTCTTTAAAGGAAGTTCACGAACGGAGAGAGATTTGTCAGAAATTTTTTCTTTTTAGAAAAATACAGCAGATGCAAATATATTTGCATTTAATTACAATTAATTGAGGATGAGGATAATTTACAATGATGATTTAAAAAAACAGACAAAAAATAAAAGCCGAGTAATGCAGAAGTACCTGCAAGTTCTGATAATCGAAATGGCACAATTGATGATGAATGTTGGTTCGGACAATAAGAAGTATGTGGATCGTTAAGGTTTCGTCTAACAAGGAAGAGAAAATGTCGTGGAATGTACGACCTTCTATTGATGACCAGTTCAACCTAATCTAAGTTCCTCTATAGAAATTCAATTGAACAGATTAAACACTCGTATAATATTATTATTTTTTTTTTTTTGGGAATTTATTACACATATATACAGTGTATTTACAGTATTTTTTTTTTTGTTACTGATATTTAGGAATTCAATACTGCCATTCGGAGCTGTCAATCACCGACGTTCACGAGGTCAAAGGTGATAAGGGAATACGAGATGTTCATGAGGTGGCTGGATCATTGTAGGATCTGTAAACGAGAGACAAGATCTAACATCACGTGTTTAACAATAGTTATAAATTTATAATTCATCCAAACCTTTATTTGCATTTTATCATTTTCTTCACTGTACCCTAAGGGACGTAGGCACCCTGCCTTTATATGGGTCCATTGTATGTGTTTTTTTTTTTTTAAAAAAAAAGCTCTTACAAGGATAGATTTCTGTTTACAGGTGATGGTACCTGCGACTATAATTTCAGTCCACAATACACAGACATGGTGGATGAGGGAATGACAAGCTCGACAAACAAAATGGCAGTGAAGTGGTGAAACTTTGCTAAGGAAATTACACCAATAATCCTTCACACTGTTCTTCGGCCCTCAATGCGTGTATACTATTCAGGATCTTCTTTTGATGCCCGATTAACGTAACACCTATTGCTGCTAAGTCCATAACGGTTAATCTCGATACCGAATCCATTGTTACGATACCCGCTTGCTGAAAATTTTCCAGATATCTCGCCATTTTGATACTCTCCAACCATTCAGGTACTGAATCGTAGAAAGGTAAATCAGGAGCGGATGGCCTACAAAGGGGAAGAAAGTATCATTCAGGATTACTCAATACTCAGTGTAATATACAATCGAATGCACTCACCTGGTTTTGATTAGTTTACAAAGCATATCTGGACGTTGCATAAGTTGATCGATTGTCATGACGATACTCGCAAACGTGGGTCTGTGCGATCGATCTTTTTGCCAACAATCTAACATTAATTGATACAATGCCTCCGGGCAATCCTGAAACAATGCGCGTGCAACATCACAAAAAAGTGTTTATTTCGTTAATCACTTTAATCTAAAGCCACTCACCATAGGAGCAGGTAGCCTGTAACCCTTCTCGATGCACTTGATGACATCCTGATTGGACCAATTCCAATATGGACGTTCTCCGTAAGACATGACCTCCCAACTAACGATTCCGTAACTCCAAACGTCACTAGCTGAAGTGAATTTCCTAAATGCTATAGCTTCTGGTGCTGTCCATCGTATTGGAATTTTACCTCCCTGCAAGAAAAAAATAAGCAAGATCCTGTAAAGTACCTGCGTACATTAAAAAAAAAAAAAAACAATAAGTTAACGCTGCAATCACTAACGCCTCATACAGAAGCACGTGTTAAGTGAGGCTGAAAGTTTATCGGCCTCACTTAACACCTATAGAACTACCTAATCTGTATTTAATTTCACATAGAAGCGGTATTGCAAGTGGAGAATTATGACTATCTGAGACCCCTTTACGTAATTTTTCTTTGTTTATTTTACGATACACAATTGCAAGTGTATAGTTGCTTTATTCTTTCTAATTTCGAGCTTCCCGAGACCTATGACCTAAGCATGGTCACTTTATTAGTAGACAAACTGGCACTGAGGTTGCTTAAACACGTACTGTACACTTTTAAGCTCGTCACTGCTTTACTTTCAACCTCATTACCATTCGCTTTCCAATCTAATAATCACCAGTTTACTATTTAAATTTCATAGATTATTTGTGTTTTTTTTTTTTCAACACCACACAACAGCTACACTATCAACAATACAACACAACAGTTAAACTTCACGATGCCAGACTAACACGTGCTCTTCAATCTCAAAACTTCCATTCATACAAAGATAGAATTCCAATAACCCATCTAAACAATTCATTCCTTTCTTTTACTCATTGTTTTTATTTTCTTGAAACACACACGAAAAAAAAAAAAAACTTCTTAAACAGATAACGATTTCTTACCTGAGTCGTGTAAGTACCTTCGACTGCATAGTCTAGTTCTCTAGACAATCCAAAATCCGCTATTTTACACGCAAATCTTCCGTTCACTAGAATATTCCTCGCAGCAAGATCCTTAAAAAAAGTCATTCGATTAAAATAAAAAAAAAATAACAATTGACTTTTTCCCAAAAGTCCAATTTCTTTTCTAAGTAAAACACGTACCACCCAGTAGTACCTAATGGAGACATTCGATATATAAAAACTACTTTCCCCTCATTAAATATGAATGAAATTAGTACTTAGCTTTAATTACTAAATTAAAAACACGAATTTTTTTCAGGGAATCCAAAAAAATTCCCCGTTCCTTAAGCAGAAATTACCAACAGTTTGTCAAAGTTTCTATTGCATTTGAATAGATACTTAAGAATTAATTTAATTCCCTTTATTAATTTACCGCGGATTAAATTTCCTATAAAATGAACGTCAGTCTGTCTGCCCGATTAATATATATATATATATTTTTTTTTTTTTTAAAGTATACATACCCTATGCACGTAATTCATTTCGGAGAGGTATTGCATCCCTGATGCTATGCCACGGAGCATCCCTACTAATTGCAGCACTTGGAATTTACCTTCGTTGACCTGTATGTCGGTACGTACACATATAAATTCAAATTGTTAAAGTTAATTACTAGTTTAGTAATGTTTAAAGTATATTAAAATGGCAAAAAAACTGAAGTACAGTCGACCCCCCTATAACACTGTTGATAATTCCGTTTTATATGAATTCCATGTTGTACGAGTCACTTAGATTTTACAAATACGTGAGTCGTTTACAGCCCAGCACATGTATTTGTAAAATCTAAGTGACTCGTACAACATGGAATTCATATAAAACGAAATTATCAACAGTGTTATGGGGGAGTCGACTGTAATATTTTAAAAAATTGGCTTAAAAAAAAGCAAGTACTGTACAATAAAACCTGTGTAAACCGGAATTACGCGGTATACCCAATACACTAGTTTAGGTAGATTTTTAACATAGAAAATTCCTCCATTACGGAGAATTTTGTCCGTTTTATACAGGTTTCGTTTTAGACAGGTAGTACTGTACTTTATATTATAAATTTACATTTCTACCCCAAGAAAATAATAGAAATAAACGAAGAGGTTGTCCTTTTCTAAAGAAAAAACAAAGTTGAAGTTACGCTCTTTTTAATAAGACAACGAGCAAGTTAAAGTTAACCTTTACTAAAAGTGACTTACGGGGGTTACGATTTTCTTCGTTTATTTTCAAAAAAATTTCGAAAATTTATAGCAAAATAAAATTTATTTAACAAACGTCACGTTACATTTATTTCATTCTATTTACAAAAAAACAAGAAACAAAAAAAAAAAACACAGCGTAACAGTAAATAGTTTTGACTTAGACATGATGCGAAGTGACGCAAAATGCATCATTGTAAAAAAATTCCAAAGCACTTACTATAGAACTATACGTCTTTATTATATTTTAGGGGGCATAAATCAATTGTTTAGAGGGTCTTTATTATATTTTAAGGGGTATAAATCAATTCTATACTAACAATTACCCTTAAGAAGGTATCCAAGGATCCATTTTCCATATATTCCGTTACGATCATAACAGGATTGCACTTAGTGACTACACCTTGCAGATATATAACATTGGGGTGATCAAACTGTCCCATTATGCTGGCTTCTGTTAAAAAATCCAACTTGGCTTTCTCTGATGAACCCGGTTTAAGGGTTTTAATGGCAACCGTCACGTCCATCCACCCCGGAATCTTCAGACTTCCTCGACACACATCACCAAATTCACCTTGAAAACATGCAAAAAAAGGATGAATTTTTTAATGTATTCTCGAGTAAGCGATGTTATAAAGGGGTTTTTTTTTTCCTTTTTTAGTGTCAATAAGCTTCATTACCTCCCCCGATAATAGCCTCTATTGTAATATTGGATGCATCGATTTCTTTTGTAAACTGCAACACTGCTTGATTAGGATCTTCGTAAGTGTGGGGGTCAATGTATGTCCTGCTCGAGCTGTACACGGGGGTGGCTATGTACGTCATCACTGTAACAGTTAAAAAGAAATCAGTACAAGTATACGAAATGACCGATGTTTTTTTCTTTTTTTTTGCCGTTTAGTACAGAAGAGAACACTTACTTCGTGTGTTAGTAGCTAAAGAATCCACGGGAGGTAACACTAGTACAGGGAGGAAGTATTTTTAGAAGAGAGTAACACTCGAAAGCGTAACCGAAAGTGCGCTTACCTTCACCGTTTCTGTTATATTCTAACGTATCGCAGTCGCTAGGTTGCTTCTTGTTACACTCGTCACTATTTCTGTAAGAGGGGGGCGAAGTTAGGTGAGTTCAAAGGTCGATAAATTTACAACCGTTACAGATAACAAGTGCTAATTTACCTTCTGACGTATAACACAATCATGACTATGACGACGATGATCAGCATGGTAACTGCTACAGTAGTACCAGCTATAATGCGTACCTGAACTTGTTCCTCGTCGCCGATTAATGCTGTAAAAAAAGGGCACACAAAAAAAAAGCACAATTTACACCTATTAAAAACACTAAACTCGTGTAAAAAAACACACACAAGTTCTTTTTTCGACGTAGAAGGCTAAAAAAAAATCAAAAAATCTTAATAGATTTTTGTCTTTTTTAATCCATAAACTATTTATTTAAAGTTAGAAAACAATACAAACTTAATAAACAGAAGGAAATAAAAAGAAATTTTTCTGAAAGTTATTGAAACAAGAAAAAAAAAAAAAAAAACCGGGGAAAAAATTTCCTCCTGCCAGAGAGGTATTGGGTATGCTGCTACAGAAATAATCAATATTGTGCTTGCTTCAGATAATAGATGTGTCTGTTAGACATTGCTGGCTTCTTTGTTTTGTGTTTGCTGATAAAGTTTGTAACATTAGGCCCTATACAGCTCTTTCATGTTACATGCTTATTACCTGGTGTTTTCTGTAGTCAATAAACTCACCTGTGCTACCGACAGTTTGACCTGTTTTCGTATAAATTGGTTTACTGTATTCGCCCCAGCCTTTAGTTGTTTTCGTTCTCACCTAAATTACACACACACAAAAAAATAATAATAATTACATTAATCTCGTTTCCTTTATGTACACACCTCTACCTTACACCTAATTATATAATGCTTAATTATATAAAACCAGATTGTAATTTGTGAAAATTACTCATTTCTTTTTAGAACTGTGTTTAATCCTTTAAGGATTTTTGTATAAAATTCCTTAATTAATTAATCTTATAATAAAATAATTACGTTAATCTTCTACGCACTAATTTTTATTTGTGAGTACACGAAAAGTACCTAAAATTATACTAATTTTAAACATACATTACACTACGAGTGTACTTATTTTAAAGGNTATTTGAAAAGAATATCCCCACGAAGATTGGAAGGCATTATACACGAACTAGTTAAATTTGTATAGATATGCAAACTTATCTAAAATGGCACAGTTCGGAAACCTCTAGCAGAATAATCCCCCGTGTTGTATAGATATGTAAAACAGCCATCTTCCTCCAGTTTCGTATCATTGAGTATTAGGACGGGAACAGTTTCCGCCAGTGTTACTAAATTTCATATAACTCGACATTAGGACCTACATTCATAATGGATACCGTAAATTAATTTGAGTGAGTAGCAATTAAGGTTGCCACTAGTTATGCAGCACGAGCTAATGTACCATAAGAGATATACACACCGGGTCGTAATTCCTGCTCTTCTAAATGTTTCCCCCCTTCTTATTCTCTAAACAAAAATACGTAGTAATTATAGTAGGATTAATAATGCTATTTTCTTTCCTTAAAAAAAAAATAATGCGTCGTTCTTCGTTGGACAATCGTATTTTGATTTTTTGCTGCCTTTTTTTTCCTTCTTGTTGCTTTCCCTTTTTATTCAGACAAGAGCTGTATTGTCACGCCATTCGTGATTGCTTTGACGAGTCAAGCGGACGAAACCCATATTCTCCTGTTGGGTTTTATTCTCATCAGTACCCGTGCAGCTAGCCTTTGATGTGCAACGTACTCTACACGATTTTAAAGCTCCTATTTTTTCTTGCAGCTTCCATATTTGTGTTGAAGCTGAAGGAAAAAAAGGTAGTGGTCTGCATGAAATTCTCAATGGCACTAGCTGCACGAAGCTTCAAGAGATTCTCAATGGCACTAAGTGAACTGCAGAAATTAGCAATGGCACTAACTGAAATGCTTCGACAAAACGGCTGCAAATAACCAAAAAAAAATGTCAATTATAAACGTTAAATTCGTAATACGTGAATGGATTAGAAGAAACGGACCAAAATATCCATCGATCGATACCCTCCTGCTGTAACTGGATCTTTGCTTCTTTTCAATTTTTTTTTTTAAGTATGATAATACAAGTTTGCGATTTTTATATATATATATAAAAAAAAGGAGAAGGGAAGGAAGTTATAACAAAGGTTAGCTGAAAAATACACAAAGTTACACGTTTGTTTGCTTTCTAACTAAGCGCAGTTGTGCAAGTCCAATTTCTGTTGTGTAAATAACCAAGAAAGTTTTACCGAATTAAAACGAATTAATTAAGCATCTCACTTATATTTACCGGGGAATTACTTCTTAATGACATTCAGTCCGACAGAATGCCTTAAGGCTGAAAGGATGACGGGAGAGAGAGAAACTTCTAAACCAAACATACAAACCGAGTAATCTTCTTATTGGACAAATAGTTGGCTTAGAGGGAACCAATCTATCAATATTTCGACAGAAGTAATATTTGACGATTATGTTATTCAACCGACTAAAATTTTAAATTAATTCTTTACTACAATTACTGATAAGGGGACATACCTTCGCAGATTTCACCCAACGGTTCATATCCAGCCATACAACTGCAACCACCCGATGGTAAAGTCCAATTTCCGTCTCCTTTACACAGTAATCTCGGAGTTTCGACCACCACTGCATTGGCCACACACTGTCCCTCTACCGTTACTATCGCTGTCACCTCCTTCCCTGTCGGAGTTTCGGGAAAATACGCGAAACTGTTGGAAATTTCGGGGCACGTGATGTAGTAAACCTTGATGGCAATGAGAGACAGACAGGCACCTTGGTCTCTGAATGCAAAATACACCCCTTTCTTAGTAACTGGCACGCTTCTTATTTCGGTGTTGATGATGACTTCCGCGTTAGAAGTGAATCTTCCTTCGTCTGCGGCGATCCTGCCGATCAGTTTGTAAGATTCTGGCTCCCAGGGGGGTGGCTCCTTGGTGGCAGCGTCGAACTCGTAATATAGTAGAGTGAACGTCTCTTTGCAGGACAGTGCCATGCCGGGGAACAGATTGCAATCCCTCATACTAAACTTGACTTCGATGTACATGCGATTGGCCACTCCTCTTTCGATGAATGGGGTCCACAACCAATTGTTGACATCGTTGTATGCCACGTCGCACACCACGTACGACCGCCAGTTGATACCCAACTCGAAATTCGTGAAGCTCTCTTCCACCCACTGTAAAACAATACAACTTAGATCATCTAACAATATTTATTTCATATCGTTTCTATAAATAACGGATAAAAAAAAAGAGAGAAAGGAAACGGAAGAAAGGAAAAAAGAGCGTAACAACTGAACAATTGTACAACTGTCAGCCATTTATTGCGATTGACTAAAAGCGCATTTTTCTCTGCATTGCCACTTTAGAAATCGTCATAACGTGACACTTTCAATCGAAGTATCTATACCTTTCGTTCCTTTCCACTAACTTTTACAAGAGCATTTATTGTTTTGATTTCTTTACCAACAATGCTGGGATCACTGCTAGAATTACTCGTAATCTAAAAAAATATAATCACTTCTCATATAAAAAATAATACATTTAATTGAGTAATAAATCAAATTTCCCAACCAGTAGCTCGTGATCCATAAAATTAAATACCTTAATAGACTGAAGTGTGCGAGATTTAGAGAAGTTGAGGAACTTATAATGAAACATTTCTTCTCAAAAACCCATCATTTACTTTACTACGCCCCTAAAACCCTAAATTTTGTAAGTTTTTTAGAGTCTTTCTCAATCGATGCTGTACACGTGAGAAAGTGGGATGACCCCTTAAATACTTAACGAATGAGGGGGAAGGAAAACAGATTTTAAAAATTCAAAGGGTAAGGGCGACGTAAAGGTTATGAGTCACTGAATTGAAGCCTACCATAGCAGTAGCCTCAATCTTTAGGGGGTGCAGAAAGGAAACAATAATTGTTTACAAGAGATTCTACTCAAGAAAAACTCCCAGAAGGGGGTAAAGCTTTGCCCCGCTCACCCCCAAATCTGCCCCTGACTAGGTAGATCACAACTAAGATGCACACACGTAAAGAAAGATGCAGTCAACACCTACCTATTTTCGCTTACACCAGCCGTGTTCCTGTATCCAAATTTCATTTATTTACCATACGTTACTCTTTCCAAATTTCCTAAATAATTTCAAATTAGCATTTTTATGCAAATTTCTAACTTGGAATCGTAAGAAAAACATTCTAAACGTCTCATTTACATAAATTGCAACTCACCATTTTGAAGTAACAAAAACAGCGAAAGAAGCGAAATTTACGGATCGATTATTTGATTAATTTACTCTTTTATTTGTTAATAAATCTATTTTAAAAATTAATATTTTAATTTCCTTAATATTAGTTAAGATTTTTGACATACAAACTCAATCTTCGAACGATCAGCGTAGTGGAGGAGGAGGAGGAGGAAGAAGAAGAAGAAGAGGAAGAGGAGGAAAGTAATTAACCATCACGCACCCAATTTTTCATAAGATTAAACACATCTTTATTATTCCAAATTTAAATTAATGGTTATAAAAAGAAGATTACTTTTTATAAAAATACAATTTTTGGACATTCCTTTCCAAAAAAAAAAAAAAAAAAAAATAACAATTTAGCCCATAATTTGGAAAGGGCAAGACGATTTACCAAATCTAAAGAAGTGAAAAGAATTGTCTGCAGCTGTTGTAGACATTAAATGAAGGGGTATACTATTCAACTATCAAAAACACTAATATCTGTCCGGTTATTTTTCGATTATAATGAAGAAAAATAGGGAAAAAATACATACATAAAGTCTATCTTCCCAACTTCTCCTCGAGTAATAATCATTTTAAATGGACTAACTCCATTCAATAATCAAAGGAAATCGTTAATGGTTAAGTAACTTTTCAATCACTTCTTTACTACTTCATTTCAATTTTTTATTATACCTAATGTAGTATANGTTATGGCAATGGGAGCATTAGTAAGGCCTACTGTAAAAAATAATTTATAAATGCTTACCTAGTGTAGTAGGCTTTACTGTATGCTTTTATAGTAAATGCAACTTCTACTATGCACTACTACTGATCTACAGTAGTTGTAGTAATAGTCAAGCACTTGAATAAGTAATATTTACAATAATAGTACTGTACTGTATGTACTGTACGTTTTTATTTTGTGCAAATTTGGTGCATAATTAAAATAAAGGGAAATAAAGGAGATCGCGTACTACTGGTTGAGAAATTTCTTTTTCATGAATTGATAAAATGATTTATTTTAATTAGAAAAATAAATTAATGTCTATTTTCCAACCGGTTGTTCGCGAACCCCTATTGGAGATCGCGACCCACCGGTTGGAAAGCTAAATCCTAAATTGTTTTTAATTAAACGAGAGAAATTAACGATTAGTGGATCGTAAACTACCTGTTGAAAAGCTTAATTATTTTTTATTTTCATTAATAAAATATTGTAAAAACTAAAATAAAATAACAACAACTTTATCAATCAGTAGTTCGCGAATCCTTACAGCTTCGTAATTATAAATTATCCTATTAATTAAAATGCAAATACAACACTTCCCAACTAATAGATCGCGATCTAATAGTTGGAAAATAATACAATTACCTCCCTCTTATTAATCAATACAGATACGTGATACTATGAGCCAAGTGGTAGATCTCAAGCTACCAGTTGAGAAACTAAATACCCAAAACAATATTTAACCAATAAAATAATGTTTTTAGAAACTAAAAATAGACAACATTTGTAGTTCTTTAATCTCAAGGAAAAGTTTACTTTCATAATTTGTCATTGGTTAGTTAAGCTTTATAGAATAAGTTTTATTAGATTTACTTTTATTTAATTTAAAACATTTAATCTTTATTGGGTATTAAATATTAAAGTTAATCTTCTTTAAATCTAATAAAACGTTTAATA